CCCTGAGGGTAGGGGTGGTGTAGCTTTGGCATGCTTTGGCCCAGTTATGGAAGCAGTTTCCAAACATTCTACACAAGTCCCCAAAGCAGATCATACCAATGTTTGATTAGAGTGGTTCCCTATGGTTTTATGGTTTACCTAGACCCGGGTGCTAGATGCATGGTCTATCTTCAACCACAACAAAGAATGGTACCATCCAAGTCCCCTTTGCAGATTTCAAACCAACATGTATTTTTTTCTTTTCACAAGTCTCTATTCAAAAAGGCTCTTCTGAGTCATTTTTTGGGCCGACAAAGGGGGTATACCCCAGAATGATTTCATTTTTGTGTCCTTTCCAAGGTTTTCCCCAGGTCCATTATTCTTGCAAGACTTTAACGATGTTAACGGCCCCTAACATGGACCCTCAAACCCTCAAAACACAGGTCTTGTGCTCCTTAACTCCTTAACCAAAAAAAAAGGTAGAAACTAACGATGCACAAACAACAAGAAGGCCTCCCATGGTTCACCTGGACCTTGATGGTTAGGGGGTGGTGTATCTTTGGCCCAATTATGGAAGCGGTTTCCAAACATTCTACACAAGTCCCCAAAGCAGATCATACCCATGTTTGGTTAGAGTGGTTCCCTATGGTTTTATGGTTTACCTAGACCCGGGTGCTAGATGCATGGTCTATCTTCAACCACAACAAAGGATGGTACCATCCAAGTCCCCCTTGCAGATTTCAATCCAAAATGTCATTTTTCTTTTCACAAGTCTCTATTCAAAAAAGGCTCTTCTCAGTCATTTTTTGGGCCGACAAAGGGGGTACCCCAGAATGATTTCATTTTTGTGCCCCCTTCCAAGGTTTTCCCCAGGCCCAATATTCTTGCAAGACTTTAAAGACGTTAACGGCCCCTAACATGGACCCTCCAGCCTCCAACCCTCAAAACACAGGTCTTGTGTTCCTTAACCAAAAAAAGTAGAAACTAACGATGCACAAACAACAAGAAGGCCTCCCATGGTTCACCTAGACCATGGTTAGGACTATGTTTTGCTCGTTTCTTATTTTGTCCGTTGTATCCCCAGGGTCTATGTGTTTCCCATAGTTGGACTTTCAGGAAGCCATTCTGACAGATATATCCCAACAAAAAAGAATATATATAGACTCCGACATGCTGTTTTGGCAAGATGGATCATTTCTTGGACTAGAAACTCAAATAGATCCTTATACCATGTCAGGGTATATGTTAGCCCTACTTGCAATGCTACTGCAGGAATTGAGAAAAAAACATGTTAGTGGGGTCGGCGGAAAGTAAAACAAAAACATAATTTGTGGGGTCTATGTTATTATGCCAGTTGGCCATTGTTGTCCATTGTATCCCCAGGGTCTATGTTATCCCCCATTGTTGAGTTTTGCAGGCACCCAAATCTTTATTACAAGAAACCATAGACCCTGATACCAGTCCAGGGTCTGTGTTATCCCTACTTGCAATGCTACTGCACAGGTATTATAAGTTGTTGTTAAGGTCCATGTTAGTGAGTAAAACAATGTTAAAATTGCATGCAACATATGGGGTCTATGTTATGCCAGTTTTCCATTGTTGTTCATGGTATCCCCAGGGTCTATGTTATCCACACTTTTTGACTTGCAGGTTTTTTTTAACATGTTTTTACAAGAAAAGATAGACCCTGGATCTGCAAATTTGTTCACCGGGGTCTACGTTTAAACGTAGGTTCAATGTAATTAGGGTCTACGTTTGTTTTCGTTAGAGTAAACCTTTGGTCATTGAAATATGTGCAGGGACAGCTATGTTGAGCCGTTGCTTCCAAGAAGTTGGATTTGATATCATGGCTGTTGACCATACGCATAACCGCTTTCACCCTCTTGCGCACATATGCACTCTTGATTTGACCTTGAAATCCTCATGGGAATTCTTAGAATATGTTGTCCGTAATTTTCCAGTCTGCTTTGTCCATGCCGCCCCACCGTGCGATACTTGCAGCCGTGCACGTGAAATCAACTTAGGTGGATCTAGTCAACCTAGGCCTCTGCGATCAGAAGACTTTCCACATGGCCTACCTGACCTCAGTGTTGAAGAACAAGCCAGGGTTGACTCAGCAAATCTGATATATAAACAGTTGTCCACCTTCTTGATCTTGTGTACACAAATGAATATCCCTTGGGCCATTGAGAATCCTGCTCGAAGTTATCTTTGGGATACGGAATGGATGAAAACCTTGCAACAGTTTGCAAAGTTCTACAATTTCACTGCCTGCGCCTGGGGATCCACACGACCAACAAAGAAATCATTCCTCAGCACTTTGCCTGGAATGAAGCGCTTGGAAGCTGAATGCCCTGGAGATCACCAGCACGAGCCTTATGGACGCAAAAGAGATGAACAGGGTCGTGTTATATATGCTACAGCAGAAGAAGCAGCATATCCTCGAGCGTTGTGCATTCAAATTAGGCGCATAGTTCAGGAGTCGTTGAACCTGTTTCCTGAACATCACCAAGCATCACCAAATTGTGTCAGCCACAATGCAGCAGGAAGCACAGCCTTGAATGTTCAACCTAGAGGCAAGCGTATGACCCCACTCATCTCTGAGTTTGTAGCCTTTCAGACCGTTGAAGCCAGTGCATGACCCGCCACCATTAGATGCCAAGTCATGTTTGACTAAGCCTTGGTACCACTTGCCTACTCATGCTAAAATGCTGTCTATTGAAAATGTGAGTGGGGATGGTGGAGGTATAGACAGCAGCCACAGCAAAAATAGATATAGGTTTGGAATCTTCAGGAGCCCCAAGCAATGGGTGGATGATGCTGTCCACTTGCAACATCCGTTTGACCTGTACCACGCAGTACCAGATGTCTTGCTGCGTGTGGTTTTCGATGTTATAACACTAGGCCCTGCCGAGATAGCCCTTAGACGTGCCTCCACTTTGAAGAGGTGGGTAGAGCTAGCCCATAAACTTGAGAAAGATGAGGTCAAGTTGAAACAGAACATGGAGTCTGGAGTGGAGTCCATTCTCAGACCCAAGCGCATCCTGCTCTTGCAGGCCCTTGCCAAAGAGTTAGGATGGCCTGACAAGCACCTTTTTGAGGAGATAACCAATGGGTTTAGAATAGTGGGACTGCAAGAGCCGTCGGGCATATTTGACTTAGAGCCTAGACCACCAGCCTTCTCGCAAGAATCTTTGGATGACGCAGCCAAGTTTCTCCGTCCTGCCATTTTCCATTTTAGGAAGAAGGCGCTCATGAAATGACAGCCATGTCTTGCAAGCTCGGCGAAGGCTCTACGGAGCGCAGCTTCACCAAAGTATATATCGTGGAAGTTGCTTTGAGTTTATCTCTTGAGTGTAAACGAACTACGCTCTTTTCAAACTCAAAATATAACACCGTCTTTTAGGTGTTGTTGTGTCAACCTGTTGGAACGATCAAACCTGATTTCTTCTCACATGTTTGACGTCTCAACTTTTCTGTGTAAGAACGGTAGCCACATCTAAGAAACCAACTAGACAGAGAAACCTTTGAAATCATTGCGCTGATAATCATATATCTTGTGCTGTGACATTTCTGAATCAAGGGTCGTGGAGTGGCGGGCATTGAAACTTGTTTTTCAATTCAAACAAGTTCTTTCTCAGCATTACGGGGGTCAACTTTTAACATGGCATGTTTTCAGCTTTCAGTCAGATCACTGGTTTTACTTTCTAGGGCTTCTTCAGCACCACATGGATCTCAAGGGATTTCGCAAGCGATGGGCTGCCAGCCGACAGCGTTGGGAGTCCATCGACACCACCCTTGGGGTCTGAGCCTGGTGCAAGCCTTGCAGTAGATGACAGTGGTCAAGGTCTAGGAGGGTATCAGCAACTTAGCAGTGCTTCTTCCAGTGAAACTGTGCAATACATACCACAAACACATGTTGAACAAACTGGTATTTCAACTGCTCTTTCTGTGTTGCGATCCTCCAAGAGAGTGAAGATGCCGTGGGAGTCCGGACCTCTGGCGCCAATTTTTAGTAGCGACAGTTTCAACAAGCGATTTGATGTCAAGTCTTCACAACTTGGTTTGGCAGATGTTTTGAATCCTCGTCCCAAAGCTCAAGCAGTCTTATCAGAACCTGTAGCTGTGGAGGCACCACTCGAGTTTGTAAGGAAACGCATTGCATGTACTTCTTACAACATCAGGACGACGAGCTGCGGTCACGGGCCTTAAATCATTTCAGAGTTTTGGTCAACTTGGATTTGCATGCAACTGGAATAGGAGAATCAATGCTGAACTGTGTTGGCAGTCTCGATACGAGCACAGATGTTTTGCAAGTACTTTCAGATGCCTTATCCAGTAAAGCCACTGGGACACTCTTGAAACGTTCTTCATCGCTCTGGCGCTGGGCCAACTGGGTGGCGACTACTGGCAGAGGCACTTGCTTTGATCAGACAGAGGATACATTATATCGGTATATGAATCACCTGCGTGACAGTGGAGCTGCACCGACGGCAGCCAGTCATTTTGTTGAAGCACTCAGATTTAGTGATCAGATGTTCAGACTTAAGAAGATGAACTTGCATTCAGTTCTCACTTCACGAGTCACTGGAGCAGCTCACACCATGTTTCTGCAGAAAAGGAAGCTACAACAGGCACCAGCCTTCACCGTTGAGGCTGTTGGCATTCTTGAGGACCTGTGCAACGAGGATCCACGAGCACATGTTCGAGTCATCTGCGGTGCCATTTTATTTTGCATTTTTGCTTGCATTCGATGGTTTGACGCAATGTGCATTGAGTCAGTGTGGCTCGACAATTACATAACTATGTGTTTGCTTGAGGCTGATACTTCCAGACACAAGACGTCCATGACAAAAGAGAGCAAGACACGTTTGCTGCCATTCACAAGCTTGGGCAGGTTTATAGGTTCTGCTGACTGGGCTCAGAGTTTCATGCGTGCAAGGAGCAGCACTGGTCTGGATGAGGGAAAGATTCTCTTGCCCTCATGGAATGAAGTGGCACAGGCTTGGTCTTCCTGTCCAATGTCCTCAGGCGAGGCTACGTGCTGGATACGTGAATTGCTGGCAGCAAGCCAGATTCAGCAGCCCTGGAGGTTTTCTAGTCACAGTTGCAAGTGTACCCTTCTCACCTGGGCTGGAATGTGTACCCTTTTTACAAGGGAGGAAAGAACACTGTTGGGGCATCATGTGGAACCTCAGACACGATCAAGCACCATCTACAACCGGGATTCTCAGATCCTTTTACAGTACAAGGTTCTGAAACTTATCAACTTGATCAGGACTGGAAATCTGAAGCCAGACGTTAGCCGGGCTGAGCGTTTGAGCATGATGGTTCAAAAGGGGACAAAACCTCTTGATGAGGAGGTTGCTGAGTTTTGGCAAGACCCCGACATTGAGGCGTCCGACGAAGATAGCCAGGATGTTGATTTGGATGAGATTGGGGAACCACAGAGTGGCCTTGACAATGCACTGGAGAGCGCTCGAGACCCAGTGCCTCTTGATGGTTCTGACTTGACATGGTACATGCATGCTTTTACAGGAGTGGTCCACGCAGCACACAATGCCTCCGTAGGAGAAGAGCAGCGACTGTTGTGCGGCAGAGCGACCACGGTGAATTTGAATCTCACCGACCCAGACAGTGCAGAGACAAAGACAGGTTTGTTTGATGTGCATACAGTGCAATGCTGTAATCAAAAGGGATGCACTCTTTGAAGAAGAGGAATTTCCACCTTAGTTTGCAGACCTGTGTGCGCTCTCAGATAAAAAGATTTTCTTAGTGCTGCCACAAATGTTGCCCATTGTTATGCTGTTGTCAGACATGTCATTTCACTCACATTGGCAATCAACTACCAAGCGACATTTTCAGTCATGCCAGCAATCGATTGTGTTGGCTGAGGGATGGAAATCTGTGTTATGCAATCCTCTCCAACCATCTCTGAGGGGATTAGTGACGCATGCCAAGATCCCCGTTCGATGACTGCGGCTTGGGTCTTCAAGTTGATTTCACGTTTGAGTGGAATCCACATGACAGCATATTGTCAGGACAAAACGTTGAGCACTTAATAAAACCGGTTTTTGTTGAATCCACGTTATAGGTAATATCATATCAGTCACCATAACATGCACGGTCAATTTGTCCAGGATGTTTTTCAACTATTCCATTGCCGAACCATGCACTGAAAAGGAACAACATACTCATTGTGATTGTTTCGACCGTTTCTGTGCGGGCAATGGCTCTGGACTCAGAGGCTGCATTTCAGTCAAGAGCTTTAGAGGTTGGAATCAGTTCAGCCGATGTCCAAGCTTTGAAAACAGGAGGTATCAATAGCTACTCTCGATATGCCTTTTGCTGTGCATATCAACCAGGGAGTGGGAATGAAGATGTGCTTTTTGACTATTTGGAGTCAATCTTGGGTGCAAAGCCCGCTGGTGCAGATGCGTCGAACTATAGGAGACTTTTCTTTGAGAGTCATGCACTTGCATTGAAAGATTTGGAGAGTCGTTTGAATCGCAGTGATGCCTCTGAACTGAAGATCCTACCTTTGGCTGAAAAGGTACAAAGGCTTGAGGCCTTGAAGCGGAAATTTCCGGGGATCATGCTTAGCACTTCCATGGAACCAGGTCATGAACTTATTGACAGAGTTGTACATCAATATGAGGAAAACTGCGTGAAGCTTGTGGAGCTCAGCAAGTGCACTTCGCGCGAACAAGAGATCAAAAGTGAGCGCTCCACTTCTCAGCTTTCATTTGATGCTCAAGGGAATATCAAAGTTTCAAAACAGAGCGCAGTCACAGAGTGCTCAATCAATGGAGAGATCAAGTTGAGGGCTGCATTCACAAGAAGGAGTTTGGCTTACGATTTGGCCAACATAGCATCATTTGAAGTTTTGGAGTCATGGTCGCAGCTTTTATTTGACAGAATCTGCCAGGAGCCACCCACAGGGTACCGTCACATTTCAACAGACCAGATCATTCATGCTGATCGCAAGTTGTGGGTGAAAGTAGCAGAGACCACAAGGTCCAAGGTTACGGGAACAACTGCAGAGGGCATCAAGAACGTTGATGTTGCTTTGAAAGAGCTTGCGCACCATCCAGACGTTCAATTTCATATGTTGCCACTGCCATTGAGAGAGTCTTCACAGTCTTCCTCGTCCAACCAGAGGTTTCAGCCATATCAACAAGATCGACCTCAAGGAGCTCAGCAACAGAAGGGCAAAGGCAAAAGTGGAGGCAAAGATCAGGGCAAAGGGCGCATACAGATTCCAGATGGTTGTGCAATCAAGTTTGGGGAGAACAAGAATAAGCCCATCTGCATGAAGTTTAACGTTGGAGCTTGCCGGACAAACGTCAAGGCAGGCAAGAGATGCATGCATGGATATCATGTCTGTTGGAAGGTGAATTGCAATCGTCATTTCCCATACCACGAGTGCTCTCATGTGGGGAGCTCCTGACCAGGTGCAACAGACAGTGTCACCGATCGTAATGCAGTATTTATTGAATTTTGTGCTGGGTCAGGTAACCTGTCATCAGCAATGCGTGAGGCTGGATTCACTACATACAGCATTGACCATGAGCACAATCGCCATCAACCTAAGGTTGCTTTGATTTTGTCAGATCTCACCCAAGAGCACTCTCAACAGACCGCCTTGGACATGGTTCGACAACTTCGACCCATCGGAATTCACTTGGGCCTTCCTTGCGGCACTTGTTCACATGCAAGGGATCGCCAATTGCCGGAGCACCTGCGGGGTCAACACAGTGCACCACCACCTTTGGGGTCAGCAGAGCACTTGATGGGTCTACCTCATCTTATTGGCACCAACTTAGCAAAGGTTCAAGCGGCCAACAAGCTTTACAGTTTCGGAGTGCAGCTACTTTTTCTTTGCTTTCAGCTCAACATTTTGGTGTCAATTGAAAATCCTTCTAGGAGCTGGCTGTGGGGAACTTAACCAGCTTAGTTGCAGCTATGAATGATGCAGCATTCACACAATGGTTTGCAGCACTGGTTGCAACAGATTTTCATGCCTGTATGCATGGGGGTGAACGCAACAAGCGTACGCGCCTCCTGGCCTCTGCTGGATTATATGACGAGCTTGCTGCAGATTGCGACAACAGCCATCCTCACAAACCGTGGTTCGTTGTGCAGCGAGGTTCTGGTTTGGAATTTGCAACAGCCCAGGAAGCAGAATGTCCCAAAGTCTTAGCCAACCGCATGGCAGCATGTCTACGACGTCAAGCCGAACGTCAACAACTCCAGCTGGGGCCTCGCTTGTCCTCGGCTCAGAAGGCACGACATGCCTGGGGAGTTCAAACGGTTAAGGGACAACCCCTCATTCCGGAGTTCAAAGACTTTTGTCATGCTGATGCAGCACAAAACCAACCTGGATATAGACTTTTGGCAACTCCACTACAGGGGGCGCAACACACAGAGTTGCCTTCAGAGGATGAGAAACAACACGAAAGCGAACAAAAGAGGGTCAGAAAGACCTTCAAGTATGGCATCCAGTGGAAACCTGAGGAGTTCTTTGAGCAGGCGAAATCTGTCTTGCACCCAAAGGATCCCCAAAAAGCTTTGCCACAAGTGTTGAAGGAGGCTGTAATCCATGTCATGGGTTCCAGCCCAGTTGATGTTGCCAAGCACCGGTTGAGCGTGGTGCTGACGCTTCACAGAAAGGCAGCTGAGCTTGCGACAGAAGAACAGCAACTCAAGACAATGATGGATCCTCAAACAGCTCATGTTTTGGCCAACAAACGCCTTTGCTTGTGGAGATACCTGCTAGAAACCGCAGGGTTTGCGGATATGCAAGTAGTTGACCTGGTTACCAACGGGATTCCTCTTTAAGGATGTCATACCAAGCCACCGAATTTTCCGGATGACTGCAAGCCCTCTTTGATTTCAGTGGACGAGCTCTTGGAGTCTTCGGTCTGGCGAAGAAAAGCCTTGATGGGTGCTGAGCAGTCCAAGGTGGAAGATTCCGTGCAGGACGATCTTCACGATGCAACTATGAAGGAAGTCGCATTGGGACACTTGCATGGACCTTACCCCGAACAGGAGGTTACAGAACACTTTGGATCGGACAAGTGGCTTTTCAACCCTAGGTTTGCCCTCTACCAAGGGTCTGAGAACAAAGTAAGAGCGATAGATGATGGGAAGCGGTCAGCTTTGAACCTTGCGTATACCACCAACTTCAAGCTTGAGCTGTATGATGTAGATACTCTTGCGGCCCTGGTTGCGGCGGTTACGGATAGCTTGCGAGCCGGCAAGGTGAGCTTTGACATGGACGATGATACAGTCTGCTCCGTGCCAGTCCATCCGGAAGTGGCATCAGATGCATGGTCAGGGCGGACTCTTGACTTGTCACGGGCGTACAAACAACTCGCACTGGACAGAGCTTCGAGATGCAATCGCGACGTGTTGCGACTGTGTATTCGGACGTAAGATCCCATTGTGCACGCTAGGGCCGTCTCTATGCTCCTAAGCGTTGCCCGGTAGGAACTACGCGTTTTTGCTCATCTGGTCTTTTCCTCCTCTCCCTTGCGCTGCTGCGTGTACTGCTGTTGCTTCCCCCGCCGGTTCTTGCGGAAGTGATGTTGGGAAGTAACTTGGAAGTGAGTTGAACCCAAACCTGAAAAACTCCAAATGTATTTTACTCAACTGTTTTAATGGAGTGTTGGTTTTGGTTCCGTTTTCTCACAAGGACTGTTTCAACATCCCTCGGGAATAGGGTTTTTGGATCTTTGGATTTGGATTTTTGAAGCCGGAATTCATGCTTCAAATATTAGTGCTGCTGCAGTACATCTCTCATCTATATTATGTCCATGATATTTTAGTGGATCAAGTTTCTGGGTTGGTGCTAATTTTTGTAGGTAGTTGTTTTCGGCGCTGCCTAGTCTTCTCGAAGACTCTATGGACGATGTGGACATCGAAAGCTGCATGTGGGGGTTAATGGAAAAACATGGGCTGACTGGAAAGAAATTGGCCGTTTTCAGTGTAGAGGATGCCTTTTCCATTTCTTCACAGCTTTGTCGTGGACTGGGAATCATTTGTGAGCAGAAACATGTTGATTTGGTGGCAGTGTGGATCGAGGATTCCAGGCGCGTGGAACCACTGGCGAAACGGCTGAGAGGTGATGTCAACTTGGATCCACTGGAAGAGCCGCTGATCAGGGAACGTTTTTCTGGTAACAACAGTTCACGTTGGGGGACCCCTACAGTGAGTGCAGTATTTGGGGAAGCGCTGAACACAAGACCTGCAGGTAGACGTAATTTGAGTGATGAAGAGGTGAATGCTAGGAAACAGCGTGAGGACCAGCAGAAGGAGTATTGGTCTAGGGAACTGTACCTGGAATTGAAGAAATTTGAAGCTCCGGCGCTGCAACATCTGGAGCATTGCGTCAGTGATCGCCATCTGCATATGGCCCTGGCAGGTAGGACAAGGTACAACACACTGAAGCGTTATGTCAAGACTTGGATGGCCTTCATGCAGTGGCTGGAAGCAGCAAAGGGAGTAATTGACTACCCGGTCCCTGGAGACCTGGTGGAATATTTATTTTCTCGGTTTGACGAGCCCTGCGGTCCGACCATCCCTGGCATGATAGTCAAAGCAGTCACCTGGATGGAGCGTACAGCATGCATAGACGATAGAATGAAGGTAGGAGAGTCACAGGTAGTTCTGTCAGTCAAGGACTACATTGTGGAGATGCTGTCGAAGGACTCACCACCGAAGAGGAGAGCACCTAGGTACCCGGCGGTTTTCTTGGAGGCACTAGAGCTCATGGTGGAGAACGACACCTTACTGATGGGCACTAGGGCAGTAGCTTGGATCAAGCTCTTCAAGATCTGGGCTTCACTTCGTTGGGACGACATTCAAAAGGTAGTCCCAAAGGAGTTGAAGTACTACGCAGGGCGCATGACCACAATCCTGCGTATTACAAAAACGACAGGGCCTACCAAGAGGGTACAAGAGTTGCCGGTTTGTGTTTCAGAACATGCATATGTTACAAGTCCATTTTGGTTGAAGACGGGTTTCGATCTCTTCAAGACACATGCAAACTTTGAGCGTGATTACATGCTTCCGAAGTTGAACAGGGACTGGTCCAGTTTCAGGAGATCCATGGCAACGTACAATGATGTCACTTCATATTCTTCATATGTGCGAAAAGCTGCCAAGAGACCGGGAACGACGGAACCCCTTTTGGATCCGTCCCTGTCGACATTCTGGACAGAGCATTCAGAACGAGCAACACTCCCAACAGGGTTAGCCCTCCTGAGAACGGCAAAGGAGGAACGTGACATGTTGGGTCGTTGGAAGCCAGACGGTTCAGACACGTACATCAGGATGTACAATGGTGTGGTGGCGAGGCTCCAGCAACAATATGCAAAAGCTGTACGGGCAAACAGCAGGACTGGACTCTTGGATGAAAGAGATGTCATCGAAAGTGCAATGTCATGGCTCACTGACCGATGTGAACAGTTGCCTGAGCATCAGGTGCAATTGATCATTTCCCACTTGGAGGATTCTATGCGCTGGCAGGTTCAGCCTGGGTGGGAGTTGGCCGGACAGGTCGAAGAAGAAGATGTGCCGGAGGTCACACCGTCGGTGCCCAATGCACAGCCTTTACAGGTTCAGAAACAGCAAACGGAGAAAGAAACTAGGAAACCTTTGTTTGTTGTGGTGAACAGTGGTAGGCGTTGCAGACGCTTGCACAAGAGTCAAGGTGGTTGCTGGATGGGGCGTGAGATGTCCTTCAAGTCATCAATAGAGTTTTACCAGATGCCAGAAGAGTCAGCATACTCACATGTCTGTAAGGTATGTTGGCCAAAAACCAGCGTGACGGAGGCACTTGAAGGTTCTTCATCCTCGTCATCAACCTCGAGCTCGGACAGCGCCTCAAGCTCGGAAGATCAAGAGGGAACTGATTAGGATGCATTAGGAATCAGTTCGGACGCCGCTGTAGAGTCTTGTTTTGGATGGACACTTTTGTAGGGGTGTTTCACAGCTTTGCATGGAAGGTTGGCAGGGTGCTGAGTTTTGATAAACAGTTTTTCTTTCACGTCAACCTAACAAAAGAGTTTTGTTTCCGGAAACATGCAACTGCTATGGTCAAGATCAGTCTCTAAGAGACCGGGATCGGAGTTTATGCCCAAAGAGGGGGAGCCTGAAATACCAGCGGGCCGGTTAAAAGCCTTGCACAGCAAGCCGGATCGCAGGGAGCCTAATGAGACAGTCCGGTAGGGCATGTTTGATTGTTGACTGGGATTTTCTGGCAGGTTAGGTTCTGAAGTATGGATGCATTAATTTGACATGTTGTTTTTAAGGGGGCAATCTGAAAGAGTGCAGTTGTATCGGTTGAGAAGATGGCAAGAACATGGGAGATCCGCAGATCCTCCGGAGTTCAGGGCTCAGCGACGAACAAACGTAGCTGTGCAGGAAACTTGAAACAAACGGATTTTAACGGCAGATTCACTTGAGTTGAGTTTTTTCTTGCACCATGTTTCACTCATGCATTTTCAACTTCACTGGAAAGAGTTTGTTGTGGATTGTTTTTCAGCATTTCCCGCGCACGTGCACCATGGCGGGACCAATTGCGAGAGAGGATGCCCTAAAAAGGGGTGGAGCTGATCTCAGATTTACATTGTCTCGAAACGATGTTACAGATGATTTGCAAGCTGCTTTCTTTACGAACGGCATCACAACAGTTCAGAAGTTTTCATCTTTCTTCAGATCAGAAGAGGACCTTATTCAAGTCATGAAGGATTCCTTTGCAACAGATGCAGATGATGGTTTGGAAGCAAGGGCGCAGCTGGCCTCAGTGATTTGCGCCTGGAGAGAGACGCAAACCAAACAAAAGAGACAAGCAGAGGTTGAGGCTGAGATGGACACACGTGAGTGGACGAAGCCAATACCTACAGGTGATTACATCAACTTACGGAATGCATTCATGAGGGCTCATGGAAAGGTTGAAGATAAGGTAACACCATCGAAAGAATACCTTGAGAAGAAATTGCAAGAACTTGAGAACGGTGAATTCCGTGCTGAACTGCTGTCGGAGGTTGTATCAAAAGACGAAGTTGACCCGGACATCATGGTGCCGGTCTTTGACTCCAAGGGGTCGCTCTCGGTGAAGAAGGGCACAACGACGGTGGCGCTTCCGACGGGGCCTGAGCAACTTAGGAGACGGCTTACAGTGATGTTGCATTGTGTCATGATGCTGGCATTGAAACATACAAACCGTGAAGAGATTCAAGACATGAGCCGCGACACCATGGAGCGCTACAAGGATTACATCCTAGGCGATTATGTCTGGGGCTTGTCATCGACTGACCTTCAGGGAAATCAGATACAGACGCCGCCTTGGAGTCTTGTCCTCAGCTATGAGCATGCAGTGCGGAAGCGTGCATACAATTTGATGGTCACGGAACATTTGAAAATTGGAGCAGCATTGGAACAGGCCTGGAAATGCCCGGTCACAAAGGAACGTCACTTCATCACGCCCTTGGCCCTCTACAGCAAACGTTCCAATCCAAGTGCCTCTTGGGGAGACTGGAACCCAAAAGGGAAAGGAAAGACAAGCAAGGGGCAGAGCAACAAAGGAAAATCGAAGGGCAAGGGCACGGGCACGGCACCGGATGGTTCCAAGATATGCTTCAGGTTCAACCAGGGGAAATGCAGCTATCAGAAATGCAAATTTGCGCATCTATGCAATCGATGTTTCAAGAAGGGCCACAACGGTTTGAACTGCAAGGAAGACAAGGCGCCTTTGGACACAACCGGATCGGTCTGACCTACGGATGCAAAGAAGCACAACGATGGAGGACCAGCCTCCTCAAGGAGGGTTTGCAAGGTCCTGTACATTTTTTCGGGGAAGCCGAGAAAGAATTCAGTTTCATCATGGTTGCGCAAGTTAGCAAAGCGTTTTGACGTGACTGTGGAGGTCGAAATGGTGGACATACAGGTGAAGCCACATTTAGACCTAACTCAGAAAGCAGTCCAGGAGCGGTTGCTAAGCAAGATAGCTTCTGGCGAATATTTTGCAGTGCTCATTAGTCCACCCTGCAGCACTTTCTCCAGGGTGACATGGGCAAACAAGAGAGGACCTAGGCCGGTCCGTTCTTACGTGTGGCCGAGGGGTTTCACACGCCTTTCCTGGACAGAGCGGAAGAGAGCAAACTGGGGCAACATCATGGCAGATTTTTCCTTTTTGGCTTTTGCAATGCAGATGAAACATATACATGTCATGGCACTTTTCGAGAACCCGGAGGACTTGGGTGCCATCAAGTCAGGTCAGAACTTTGGCAAGAGACCGGGCAGTATGTGGCAATTTCAACAATTTTCTGACGTGTTGCAGCAAGAACAGGTGACTACAGCGGCTTTTTATCAGGAAGATTTTGGAACAGATTACCTCAAACCCACGAGACTGCTCTTGGGTGGGTTTGCACAACTGCCGCAACATTTTTTGGAAGGGCCACCAGTTTTTGATGATCAAGGCTTTTATGTTGGACCATTAGTACAACGCTCTGCAAAGCGTCAACTGGTCGGAACACTGGGTGATAGGTTTGCAACGACCGGTTCAGAACAGTGGCCATCAAACATGTGCAGATGGGTTGCAACATGCATTTTACAACAGTTTTCTTTTTTGCATAATGCTTCAACTGCTGCCCTCGCTGACGAAGGGGTCCATTCGAAGGACTCGGACAGACAGAACTATGAGGTTTTGAAACCAGATGGCAGGAAGTTAGCAGGGGGGCTTGGGAGCCCTCGTAAGTGTCAGCCACCGGGCAAAGACCGGTCTTTTCATGATGGAGCTGGACTTCTGTCAATGGGGAGATGGGACGTGGAGCAAAGGATATGGAGCAAGGGTGTTTTTTGGGAAAGGTTGAGAAAAGGAACGATTGAGTTGATTGAGAAGCACCTGGGGGATGAACGAGCTTTGGACAGGGCTTGCTTTGAGATGGCAGTACGAGGTGAAGCAGGGTGCCATATTGTGCGCGACGAGAAGCTCAAGAGCGACATACGCCTTTTCTGGATTGACCTGCTGAAACAGCATGGGTCGAAACAAGAGGGATTGGACCATGTGGCCCCAGGGCAACCTTTCCACCTTAGACTCATGAAAGAGTTGCTTGCGTTTGGAGAAGATGCAGACAGAGAATTTTTGTTGCAGGGCGAAGTGGGTTATCCTGTTGGTGTCCTGACCCCTTTGCCCAGGACGCCGCACTGCTATGAAGAACAAACAGCTTGGCGATTAGAAGACGACCCACACATGCAGGAGGAGGTCTGGCGTTCCAACTACCAATCGGTAGGGGAACATGTACAATTTGTGCGGGAGCATTTCACGGAGGAGTGTGCGGAAGGCTTGATGGAGAGACTCACACTGGATCAGGCGAAGACCAGATTTGGAGACAAGATTGCAATCTCCTCACTTGCGGTGCTGGTGGAGCAGAACCACCAGGGGAAGAAGAGAGTGATTCATGACGCCACCCACGGGACAAAACTGAATAACAGGATCAGATGCCGTGACAAAACCAGGTCTCCCAGTGCGAGAGAGAAACAGTACCTCTTGGCATACTTCCAGGAGAACAAGCGCTCAATCTTCAGCTTGGTGGGTGACATAAGTAAGGCCCACAGGCGCTTCCTCCATGCCCCAGGAGAACGCGGTTTGCTGGCCTGCAGAGTCTTGGACACCGACGACCACATATATATAAACAATGTTGGAACCTTTGGAGTGGCTTGTGCATCATACTGGTGGGGACGAATTGCAGGTGCAGGGATCAGACTGGTGCATGAGCTCCTGGGGCCACAAATGCCGGTGGAGCTGCTATTGTTTGCAGACGATCTGGAAGCTTTGGGTGCGAGTGCGGGAGGCAGGAGAGGGATAACCCTCGCCTTCCTTTACATGTCTGTTTTGGGCTTCCCCTTCAAGTGGACAAAGCAGAGGGGAGGGCTTAGAGTGGAATGGATTGGACTCTTCTCTGACTACTCTGTTTACAAGCTGGGACTGTCGCCATCCCGGGCGCGCTGGATGCACGATTGGGTGAAGGAGCTTGCAGACACCGGCACAACAACTGCAAAGAACTTCGAGCAAGGGCTGGGCCGCCTTGGCTTTGCGGCCATGGCCTTAACATGGGAGAGGCCCTTTTTGGGGCCTCTTTATAGCTGGTGTGCGGCTGTCAGAACGAAGCGTGGAGCCCTGAGAGTGCCTGCAATGTTGAGGACCATTTTGCGTTTTTTGGCGAAAAGGTTTTTGGCTGGTGGCGACTTGCAATGCCCGCCTCCACTCAAGCGACAGGAGGGCGAACAGGTTATCTTTTTTACAGATGCCAAGGCCACAGAAAAATCAGCATGGATAGGGGGCTTCAAGCAGGGTACAGACGGAAAGGTGCTGGCATGGTTTTCTGAAGAGGTGCCGCTTTCCCGGGCGCCGTGGTTGAAACTTAAGAAGGACCCCAAGAGGATAATTGCAGCCTTGGAATTACTAGCCAGTCTGGTGGCGGTGAAACTGTGGATGCAGCCGGCGCAGCAAAGCTCTGAGGCCGTATGCTGGTTGAGGGGCAAAACGGATAATCAATCCAACACCTACGCCTTGACGAAATGGATGAGCACGAAGTTTCCCCTTACAATTTTTATCATGGAGATGTCGGAGTCTTTAAGACTTGGACGCTGCAATTTGACGCTTGACTGGGTTCCGCGTGAATGGAACCAAATGGCCGACGATCTCACGAACCAGAAGTTCGACAAGTTCTCCCTGCAGGACCGCATCAGGTGGGATCCATTTCAACAAGAATGGCTGGTATTAGAAGAATTTATGGTTCATGCAAACAGTTTTCATGATGAGATGAGAAAGAGGAAATCGGAGCCTCAGGTTCAAATGCCCAGGAAACGAAAAAGAGTTTCTTCCCTCAAACCTTGGTGAACGGCCGACCTCGGTACCTAGGGGCTCAATCGCTCGGTGGCCCGTTTACTTGGCCAGCGTTTGAGACAGGTTGTTGGTAGCCAACACAAATAAGTGAAAAGGAAAAAAGGGAAGATTAATAAATCTGCATCTCACGAGTGAAGCCGTCGTATATGAGTTATTTGTATATTATTTTTATTATACCGTGGCGATAGCCTCACGTGTTTTTCTAAGTGGCGCAGGGTTTGGTTTTTTATAACAAGAAATTGAATTGGAATTGACAATGCGCAAAGAAACGCGTTTTTACTCTCTCTAGAAGGGAGGGTTTTGGGTGGATTTCCTCTTACGTAACTAGTACGCAATCGCGACGTGTTGCGACTGTGTATTCGGACGTAAGATCCCATTGTGCACGCTAGGGCCGTCTCTATGCTCCTAAGCGTTGCCCGGTAGGAACTACGCGTTTTTGCTCATCTGGTCTTTTCCTCCTCTCCCTTGCGCTGCTGCGTGTACTGCTGTTGCTTCCCCCGCCGGTTCTTGCGGAAGTGATGTTGGGAAGTAACTTGGAAGTGAGTTGAACCCAAACCTGAAAAACTCCAAATGTATTTTACTCAACTGTTTCAATGGAGTGTTGGTTTTGGTTCCGTTTTCTCACAAGGACTGTTTCAACATCCCTCGGGAATAGGGTTTTTGGATCTTTGGATTTGGATTTTTGAAGCCGGAATTCATGCTTCAAATATTAGTGCTGCTGCAGTACATCTCTCATCTATATTATGTCCATGATATTTTAGTGGATCAAGTTTCTGGGTTGGTGCTAATTTTTGTAGCCCACCCACCCGCGACCTGGTAGGGGGCTCAATCGCTCGGTGGCCCGTTTACTTGGCCAGCGTTTGAGACAGGTTGTTGGTAGCCAACACAAATAAGTGAAAAGGAAAAAAGGGAAGATTAATAAATTTGCACCTCACGAGTGAAGCCGTCGTATATGAGTTATTTGTATATTATTTTTATTATACCGTGGCGATAGCCTCACGTGTTTTTCTAAGTGGCGCAGGGTTTGGTTTTTTATAACAAGAAATTGAATTGGAATTGACAATGCGCAAAGAAACGCGTTTTTACTCTCTCTAGAAGGGAGGGTTTTGGGTGGATTTCCTCTTACGTAACTAGTACGCTTGAGTGTGGTTGGCTACCACTACGGGGGCCGCTGGGTTTTCTTTAGGTGTGATGTTCTTCCTTTTGGAGCTATTGCGGCAGTTTACAGTTTCAGCAGGGTGTCCAGATCATTGCACTTCTTGATATGCAAGTTGTTGTGGGGCCCTTGCAGTTGCTTTTACGACGATTACCCTACAATCAGCCCCAATGCTTCTGCGGCTATCCTTTCAAAAGCGATGAGTGCCATGCTCACGCTACTTGGCTGGGACCACGCCAAAGTTGGCATCAAGGCGTTGGATTTTGCTGCGTCTTTCAACGCTCTTGGAATATCGGTACAACTGGACCACCTCAACAAAGGGTCTTTCATCTTGTGCAATAAGGAAGGGCGCGTTGAGCGCTTGTGTGCCATGCTCGAATTGGTCGAATGCAGAGGAGCCATTTCAAAATCGGAAGCTGCGCAGATCCAGGGTCACTTGAATTTTGCAAGCGGATTCTTTGTGTCCAAAGCTCTCAGGTTTTTGGTATCTTCATTTTCAAGATCTCCAAGCTTTGCAATTTGGCAGTAACTATGTTGAAGGCCATGCCGCCTCGAGTGTATGTATCGGAGTCCTTCAAAGATCCTTTTCTCATTTTCACCGACGGAGCATGGGAAGATGGGAAAGCAACAGGTGGTGCTTTGACGTTCGACCCCCGCACGGGCGAGTCGAGGGTCTTTGAAGTGGAGATCCCAGCCGCACTTGTGGCTAAGTGGCTTGAGGAAGTTGGGGAGCAACTGATATCCCAGATTGAGTTCTTTGTTTATCTTGCCGTCCGCTTCGACTGCCGTGAGGCTTTGCTCAACCGACTTGGCATTGCTTGGATCGACAACGATGCGGCAAGATTTGTGGCAATCAAAGGGTCGTCGGATTCTTTCAGCCTTTTAGCAATGAGCCGAACTCTCCAACAACTTGAGCTTGAGATGCCTTCCTCGGTGTGGCTTGAACGTGTGGCCTCGTATAGTAACCCTAGTGACATGCCTTCTCGGAAACAGGTCAAACTGGCAGCCAAACTCTTTAGAGCTTCAGAAACCGGGGTGTTGCGAGTCCCGAGCCGACTGGTCGATGCCATCCTCCTAATGCATCGGGAACCGTATGCCTCGTTGAACGCACTCTCTAAGGGGGTCAACTCCAGTGCGTAACTGGCAACTCACTCGTGACTTTCACCCCCGCTGTCTAAAAAGGTGCCGACCTGT